AAGAACCTAATATAGATAACTTGCAAGGCGACGAAGGACCAGAAATAACTAAAGAAGAACTATTATACGCTATAAAAATAATGAAAAATGGTAAATCACCGGGTCCAGACGGGCTCACATCAGAACTTCTTAAGCTTGTGGAAGGCGAATCAGTGAATATTCTACTCGACCTTTTTAACTGCATCTACAAAAGAGGAGAAATACCAAAGGAATGGCTACTTTCAACTTTTGTAACCTTACCAAAAAAGGCAAATGCAAAACAGTGCACTAACTACCGCACTATAAGCTTAATGGGGCATACATTAAAAGTATTCATCAAAGTAATCCACTCAAGAATTAACAGAAAACTAAAAGCAGATATTAGTAATACTCAATTCGGATTTCGGAACGGGCTTGGAACAAGAGAAGCACTATTTGCACTTAACGTCATATGCCAAAGATGTCTAGATATAAACCAAGATATATATATATATATATATATATATATATATATATATATATATATATATATATAATATATATATATATATATATATATATATATATATATATATATATATATATATATATATATATATATATATATATATATATATATGTGTGTGTTTTATTGATTACAACAAAGTGTTTGATAAAGTTCGTCACGATCACTTAATGAAACTGCTAGTCGAAAAAAACTTGGATAAAAGGGACATTAGAATTATCTCTAAGATTTACTATAACCAGAAAGCAAATATCCGAATAGAGCAAGAGACAACGGAGGAAATCGAGATCAAGAAAGGCGTAAGACAGGGTTGTATACTCTCACCGACCTTATTCAATCTATACTCCGAAGACATTATAAACACAGCACTTTCGGATCAAAATATAGGTATTAAGATAAATGGCATCCGAATAAACAAGTTGAGATATGCCGATGACACGGTACTAATCGCAGAAACTTGGGAAGATCTTCAAATACTAATTAACAAAATAGTAGAATGCAGTGAAGAACACGGATTATCACTTAACATAAGCAAAACAAAAATAATGCTAATATCTAAATCACCACAAAACTTCCCTGGCATAACCGTGCATGATCAAAGAATCGAACGTGTAAGAAGATATAATTACCTGGGAACTGTTATCAACGAAAATAATGATTGCTCTGAAGAAATCAGAACCAGAATAGAGAAAGCTAGAGCCACATTTACTAAATTGAAAAAGGTGTTCTGCGGAAGAGATCTAAGTCTAAAACTTAAAATTCGCCTTTTGAGATGTTACGTTATGTCAGTTCTCCTCTACGGGATGGAAACATGGACATTGAAAAAGATCGATACCAAAAAGATAGAAGCATTTGAGTTGTGGATGTATCGTAGAATATTAAGAATACCCTGGACAGAGAAAGTAACAAATGTGGAGGTTTTGCGGAGAGTGCGGAAAGAGAAAGAGCTGATACTTACTGTTAAAAAGCGCAAACTACAATATTTGGGACATGTTATGAGGGGAGATAAATACCAGTTGCTGCAATTGATTATACAGGGAAAGATAATGGGAAAGAGATCTATAGGAAGAAGGCATTCACGGTTGAAAAACTTGAGAGAATGGTACAATTGCACCAATTACCAACTGTTTAGATCTGCAGCATCAAAAATACGCATAGCTTTGATGATAGCCAAACTTCGGAACGAAGACGGCACTTGAAGAAGAAGAAGTAGTGATTGCACAAGACCAAGACGACCTCAGCTACATGATGAATAAACTACAAGAAGAATATATCAAGGCTGGCCTAGATATTAACATCGCGAAACAGAGTACCTATCTACAAGTGAAGAAGACATAGAAGATCTACAGATTGATGACAACGTAACAATCAAAGGAAAGGATAAATTCAAATACTTGTGGTTTATAATCACGAAAAAGGCAACAACAGAGGAAGAAATTACACAAAGATTAAGACAAACAAGAACAGCAATCCGACAACTTAACTCAGTATGGTGGGATAGACACCTAAATACGGAGACAAAAGCACAGATTTATAAAACATTAGAACGAAGTATTATGACATATGGGGCTGAAAATTGGATTATAAACAAGAAAAACAGCAGTAAGATAGTAGCAACAGAGATGGAATGCCTGCGAAGATGCTGCAGAGTAACAAGAATTGATAGGAGAAGTAATGACGAAATAAAATAAAGAACATCAATAGAAACAGACATACTAACATATATAGAACAAAAAAAAAACTAAAGTGGTATGGACATGTACGAAGAACTAGCGACAGCAGATGGATAAAGAGAATAAATGAATGGAGGCTCATAGGAAGGAGGAAAAGAGGATGACCCCAAAAATCCTGGAGGAACGAAATAGACAATGCCATTAGTAAGAGAGGCCTAAACGATGGAGAATGGGACAACAGAGAGAGATGGAAATGGGAAGCGAGGGAAGGCAGTGAATACTGTAGAATCCCTGAATATATATAGAAATCAACAACCTTACAAAGACTATGTCCCAAGTTCAGCAACCCCAACTTAAGAGTGTTATATTCCATGAAGTATGTAAATATGTTTAAAAACCTTTAACATCCAATAATATAATCAGTGACAATGTAATACAAAGCCAATTTAATAATATTTAAGTAACAGGTTTTTAGAAAGAACCTAGAAAGATTGAAATCAACAACTTTACAGAGACTATGCCCCAGGGCCAGCAACCACAGCTTGGGAGTTTTATGTTGCCATGAAGTATATAAATCTGTTTAAAAACCTTTAACATCCAATAAAATAATCAGTGAATGTAATACAAAGCCAATTTTATAATATTTAACAGGTTTTTGCCCAAATATTTATGCTTCACACATGTATATCTAGTAGTAGCACTGATGTTGGAGTAGCCATTCTGAAAACATTCTGTGATGCAGATCGAAAGGGTTCTTTTAAATAAATATAGCTTTTTATAAAGGATTTGTTGATTAAAATTTGTGTAATTTATACAGGGAACAACAGGAAATTCATTTTCTGTGTGGATAATAAACACTTTATTATATACTAGAACTTGGGGAATATATATGTTACACTATTGGTGTTTTTAACCTAAATACTAATATTTATGATACATACAGCTATTGAGTGGGGAGAGAATACTAAGAATGCAAATTTAGAACAGATAATGAAACTTTAGATACATATGAGATGTGAGCTAATAGAATTATTAAAAAAGACAAAATATAAAATTCCTGAATTCTGTAAAAACTGAATCAACAAAAAAAGGAATAATGTACATAACACCTCCACTATTTTTATTAGGAATTAACCACAATATGTTTATTTTGATGTTTTCGATTTCCACTTAATAAATTGTTCTTTTTATAATATGTAACTCAAAATATATTTTTTTTAGTGCCTTTGAATTGCTCAATAATCCATTCAGCCACGATAGATAATAAATACTGTTTGCTGCCACATTATATATAATGATATTATATACATATGCCACATATATACAGTTATAAGAATTTTTTGTATTTTCAAGTACAAAAAATCAAAATTTGTTTAATTTGTATTTTAAGACTGATTTCGAAAGTGGAAATTGAAACATCAAAATTTACATATTTTAAACTAAAATTGTGGTTAATTTATATTAAAAAGTGTAAATTGTATGAAGATGCCACAAGATAATAGCTTCAACACAATATAAACACCCTTATTAATAGCTACTTAATTGGTGTGAAGACTTTACAATGAGGAAAGCATATTTCTAATCATTTCAGCCATATTATGTGGTCTTCTTTTGCATTGCATTTGTATTATTGGTTAAAGAAGAAAGTTGACATGTGTTAGTAACTTTAGATAGGGACTATATAATGATGTATACAATTTAGTTTTAGATTTTTATTAAATAGTAGGCATATTAGATTTGATAAGCATGTTTGTGTCTGAAATTTTTTTATGGAGATTATTATAAAATGCCAATGTTGATTGATTGGTATAACTACAAAGTATTTCAATATATGGCACACAGTATATACATTTGTGTGCACCTTTCTAATATCATTTACTTACTGACATTGAAGAACACTGCCACTTTTTAGTTTGAAGATATTTTGTGATTTGGTTCTCCTTCCTTCTCCTTTTATCAGATCCATTATTACTGAGTTATATTTAGCTGCTACTGTTATGATATAATTTATAGTTTTTATGTCACATCTCTTCATGGAATTCAATGATAATGATGTCATCTGTTTTGTTTTTATTATATAATAAGTCTGTTGTTTGTAGTCAGTCCTAAGCATATTAACGAGTAACATAGGGTATATCAGAATTGATCAACAGTAAAATTAAGAAAAATTTTACAGTACTCTTGTTTGAAGTTTAATTTTATAAGCATAAAGTAATGAATGAAGGGACTATTTAATTTATAAATTTAGTATTAAAACTGTAGTGCAACAATTTATGAACAATTTGGTTGATGATAAAAAATATTACAAATATTAAATATTATTTTGTTTTAAAAAATTAAACAAACATATAATGTATTGGCAAATATGGCAGTAAAACAAAGGAAGATAAAAGCCTTAAATGATATAGAGAGTAATTTTAGGAAACATACCACATAAAGATGAAAAATAACAGGACTGACTGGGCACCAGTCAAGGTAACAGATATACTAAAGCACTATAGCACTAGATATTATAATTCAACAGAAATTCAAAATAAAGATTAAAAAAAGTGTACATACAATGCATGTTCACATTATACAAGTTACCAAATAGATATTATATAATATATTTATATGAATAAGGTACACATCTGTGTAATGATTGTTTAATATTCAAAATAATTATTTTGCTACTTTCATCAAAATACCCAAAACAGACAACACATAGTTTTCTTAAAATCTAAATACTTATTAAAAAATAGAATTAAAACACTGGCTAGGTATCTAAGTATTTATTATACTGTGTTTATGAAATAGAATACCTACTTTTGCTTTATAATTAACAGAAAAATAAATCATTTTTATACATTTTTGTATTTATTCAAACAAAAAACATTAACATTACATTTCTTAAGTGATAAAGTAAACCACAAAATGTTTTATAGCATAAAAGAATAATTTACCATGATACAAGCATTCCATTAGCTACGTCCTTAGCTTTTTCTTTTCCGACAAGCTTCTCGACTAATGTCAAAGCAAAATCGAAAGCAGTTCCAGGCCCTCTGCTTGTTATTAGTTTATCATCCACAACCACTTTATCTTCTTTATACTGATAGCCTTCACTGCCATCCAATAAATCTTTCTTAACACTGGGATATGAGGTTAAGTTCTTTCCTTTGGCAATACCATGGGCTTTGAGTGCTAATGGGGCAGCACATATTGCTGCTATAATCCTACCACTAGATTCTTGTCCCTTCAGTAGTTCGCCAACTTCTTTGGATTCTGACATTTCTTTTGTACCTCCTAGACCACCAGGCAGGACAATTACGTCAAATGGTCCTTTACTACTAGCATCTTTTATAGCAATGTCGGATTGAATTTGTACTCCTCGACTACATTTTACTAGTTTATTATCTGTTAGACTGGCTACTGTAACATCTACTCCTCCTCTTACTAGAACATCAGCTGTAATAACAAATTCCATCTCTTCAGCTCCAGATGCTAAGAAAATTAAGGCTTTTGGTGCCATGATGCTGGAATTGGAATACCGGTTTTTACCCAAGAAAACAATTGGTAACAAATTTTGACTTTTGGGTATTACTCGAGTGACAAGTTTTGAAATTATATACATTCACTAATCAACTTTTACTCATATGACAATCAATTTATTAAAAACACCGGCCGAATTAAAAAAGAATGACCTTATTTGTTTTGACAATGACAATGTCAAGTTGAGGTTATGGGTTATCTCACCGAACAACATGTCATCATGGTACAGCAAGATAGGTAACGAAATAAAACTAAGCACGACATTTAATTTAGCATACAGTCTCTTATACAAGTAGGAGTACAAAAAATAAATTAATTAATGGTTTAGTTAAAAATCAAATAAACTAAAACATTAATTAATAATTTAAATTTAAAATAATTAAAAAAAAATAAAAATTAATCCCCAATTCTGATATCTCATAAATGTGTGTGTAGTTATATAGATTATCAACAGAAATAGTAGGATACTATATAGATATTCAAAGAAAATATCCATTCAAAGAATATTTCCTTTGTATGTACACTTATTTGTTGCCCACTTATCTTACCGTGAACTGTGGCTTATGCCTTGTGTGTATAATAGTAATGAAGTCACTCTGATGAACCCCTGAGCGTAAAAATAGTGTAGCCTATGTACAAGCCCGAACGAATGAGTACTATACCCGGTTCGCTATTCCCAGTCCGAACTGTCTAGTGATTTTAGTAATTATTTTTTTTTCGAAGTTAGTATCTTTTTGACAGACTCGAAGTGGCTGGAAAATACTATACAACCAAGCATACGTGCTCTTAGTCAATATTAATGTAAACAAAAGTAAATAAAATAGAACTTTGCCGACAATCAATATTTATTTATTTACACCGTATAATGTATTGATAACAAATAATAAAATTATTTATTGTACAAAATAAAAAAGTGGGAATAAATTCTAGAAAATTAAGAAGTCAAAGTGAGGTTAAATAATAATAAGACACAGCAAGTTCCTTATGTATTTACAACATTTACATAATTCGATAAATACATTTTAATGACCAACTTACCTCAACAGGGTTTTCATTCGGTAAAAAAAAAAGGTAGGCATTTTGAATAAACCTTTGTGCAGTTTTATTACCTTGTAATCTAGGAACAGCATCCTTACTAATCTAAAAATATTAACTTTAAAAAAAACTTTTTAAAAAACATTTTATCATATTTATTAAGAAAAACTTACCAACGCATTAGCTGATGGAACAAATGGAAAACTTTGACTATCCATAATAATAAAATTTAAAATATAATTAACTAATTAACTGAATAGAACTAACAAAAGAATTAAACAAAGATAATAAAATAATATTAAATTAAATAAACAACGCGAATAATACAAATATTTACTACAATATTTTAAATTGTAACAATTCAAATATTATATTTTAAATATACAGGGAAAATTTGATGGGTTTAGTATACACTTCCACTATTTAGAATAATTCTTCTTTTTTCAAAGAAAGAAGTCTGCAATAGTAGTTTACTTGAGCTATTAATACTGAGAAGTAGGAATTGTTGTGTTGTAGGTTTCCTACAATGAGTCTGTCAAAATATGCCCTAGCTAAGCGAATAGACAATAATAATTATATTATGCAATTAGGTACGTGGCTAAAGGTTCCAAACCAAAGTTCACATTTAAGACTGCTGCATTCGTATTGTATTGTATAAATAAATACTTTTTATATGTTTAGTACAGATTGTACAGGGAGGTCACTTTTCACGCTCAGGGGTTCATCAGAGCGACTTCATTATTGGAAAACAAATAGGTTTTGTGTTTGCTGCAAATGAAGTCAGTGTTTATAAATGTGATAGATAAATAAACGTTGCACGATTTTTGTAAAATACAAATTTGTAATACATAAAATGTATCACTGCATGGACCGGTCACTATGGCATTTCCATAGAGACTAATCTTCAAAACCTATATAACATCAAATTTAGATTTTGAGTTTTGACAACAAATATGAGGCATTAATTTGAAAAATGCTTATTCATTGCAGAATTTAAACTTTTATACCTATTACAAAAAATCGCACTTCACAGGAAATGCCTCTACGAAGACGGCATTTATTATAATTTATACCTGAAGTTGTGTAGTTTTGTAAACCATAGTTCTATAATTAAAAAAAGCAGTTTTAAACGTTTTAGACCATTTTGTTAATGTGAAGGTTTAAATTCAGCGTTTTTATACATATTTCAAATTCCTCACATTTGTTCGCAAAACCGCGATTGAATGTTATATATTTTAAAGATTAGGCTTTATAAATGAAAATTCAATAGTTACCACCCAATGAAAGTGATACGTTTTACTGATATCATAAAAATGAAAAATCGCTTAATGTTTATTAATTTACCAGTTGTATAAAAACTGATTTCATTTGCAACAAAATTCAAAAATTATGTATCAAAGCTGTACTCTGCACCTACAGAACGCGTGAGTAACTGACATTGTTTCTTTAGGCATTGTTTTTGAGAGAACGGTTTATTCTATACAAAAAGTGTTAATAAACATTTTTGTTAAACATTATCTCAGGTACATTTTTTATTTAAAATATTTTTTTCTACGGCGTACATATTTTGGTAAATCCATTTTTTCCGATTTAAGGGGAAGCCAGCGGGTAGGAGTCTTCTTCTTCTTCTTATGTCGTCCCCACTAATGGAGGTTGGCGACCACATTTCTAAAAGTATCTCTGTTTTTTGCAACGTGGAATAATTCGTCTACAGTCATGTTTGTCCAGTCTCGAATATCTCGCAGCCATGATTTCCTCTTTCTACCTATTCCCTTTTTGCCATCGACTCTACCCTGCATGATGACTTGCAGAAGACTATATTTATCATTTCTCAGTATGTGCAAAAGGTGTCCATTTCCTGCTTTACTCCAAAAAGGCTTCATGTAAATACAGCCGCAACTACAGCGGCTTTTCATAGCAAGCCTTGTGTTAGGTCACATTCCAAAAACTTGAAAAGGCGCAAAGATGGTTTTTATACCAAAGGCGGGAAAACGTCCTACGGACGAAGCGAAGAGTCTTATCGTAATGTATGCCTGACCTCCTTTCTCCTAAAAATAATGGAGAAACTAGTAGATTACTTCATAAGAAGCGAAACTTTTTATCAAGGAAGTCACTTCACAAACATCAGTTTGCCTACCAGACTAGCAAATCCACTATAAATGCTCTAAATTCGCTAGTCGAAAGAATTGAAAAGACAATAGTGGCAAAAGAAATAGCTCTTTGTGCTTTCATTGACATAGAGAAAGTATTCGATAATACCTCATTTAAATCCATAAAAAGAGCACTAGTAAAGAGGCATTGAAGTCTCACTAATACAATGCATTCAGTCAATGCTAAAAACGAGAATCATCACTGCTAGTATTGGAGAAGAATCTATGACTGTAAAAGCGGTTAAGGGGTGTCCTCAAGGGGGAGTATTATCGCCTCTACTATGGTCTTTGCTTGTGGATGACCTTCTCACTAAGTTGCATATGATTCTGGTTTTATAACCCAAGGTTACGCAGATGACCTAGTTGTTACAATTAGGGACAAGCATGACCAGAATATATCTAGTCTCATGCAAACTGCTCTTAACGAAATTAAAAGTTGGTGCTCGAAAGATAACTTAAGTGTGAACCCCAGTAAAACGACTTTGATACCTTTTACAAGGAGACGTAAATACAATTTACAGGCTCCAACAATGAATAGCATCACATTAGACTATTCAAAGGAAGTAAAATATCTGGGCGTAACCCTACATTAAAAACTCACCTGGAATAGTCATATTGAAAAAAATTTATCCAGAGCTTTGGTGGCAAATTGGACCTGCCGCAAGACGTTTGGAAAGACTTGGGGTCTACAACCGAAAATGACTCTCTGGTCATATAAAACAATAATTAGGCGCATGGTCACATACGCATCATTCATATGGTGGCCAAAAATACAACAAACAACAACTAACGTCAAGCTGCAAAAGTGCAGCGGCTAACTTGTCTGGGAATCACAGGGGCAATGTTAACATGTCCCACTGCATCTCTAGAGGCGATGCTGAATCTTCCTTCCTTGCAGTTTTGCATAAGGAGGGAGGCAGTAACTACCGCCTTAAAACTGCGACATACACAAATAATGAAACCTGGAGATCTAGTTGATCACCTGAAAATCTTAGAAGAACTTCCATTGGATTCTAAGGACATGCCGACAGATGCTATGCCAGTCAAATTCGACTTTGAAACACCCTGTGGAGTGGTCATAAAAAAACCACCAAATGGGTGAAGAAATTGAACCAAAAGTGGAAGAAGTTTCTTTCGTATGGTATACGGATGGATCTAAGTTAGATGAAAGGGCAGGAGTGGGAGTTACTGGGCCCAATTTCAGGCTATCTAAATCTTTTGGAAACGCCCCAACTATTTTTTAGGCAACTATCACCCGTAGGGCAAAAGTCTTTATTTTATCAGACAGCCAAGCCGCCTTAAAAGCTCTAAAGTCATTTACATGTGAGTCAAAATTGGTTTGGGACTGTAAACAATCTCTTAAGAAGCTGGCGGAACGCAACAATGTAACTGTGATGTGAGTGCCAGGTCACAAGGGAATTGAAGGAAATGAGGAAGCTGACAGCCTCGCAAAAGATGGAGCTAATACCCCATTCCAGGGTCCGGAACCCTTCTGTGGACTATCAAAATGCCACATCAGAGAGGAACTCCGTACCTGGAAACTCAATCAACTAAGATCATATTGGTCTAACACACCAGGACAAAGGCAAGTAAAAAGGCTCATAAAAGTGTCGCTTACTACAACAAACCACCTTCTCGAAATGAGTAAAAAAGATATCAAAATGGCCACTGGGTATTGAGAACTGGTACTGAGAACTGTCGTTTTTGTTACAATGAAAAAGAAACGGCAGAACATATACTATGCAACTACGTAGCACAGTTCTGCAAACGACTAAAATTCTTAGGAGAGGTCAGTCTGGCGTCCTCTGACATAGGAAACAAATTACTTAAGAAGCTAATCAACTTCATCAAAACTATTGGCATTTTAGAGTTTAAAGACGTAACATTCAACAAACCTCAGTCTCAGCGCAGTATTCATATTTTTGTCATAGAACAATTGCTCGAATTTTAAGAACGCTGGCCTTGCCATTTCTATTCGTACCCTG